TATTATTATTATTGCCATAATTTATTATTAGTGTGTTTTTTATTTTATGGTGCCCACGTGTGCAGGTTAATTCGCTGCAGCGCGCTTACGCCATCGGAAGGTGGGAAGGCTCAGCGAGCTGCAACAGCCTCACAGCCAGCTCTGAGACCTGTTTCCAGCGTAAAACTCCCTCCCTTGGCTTCAGGCGAATGGTTTTGGGGCAGCTCCAGGCAGTGCTGATGTGTTGAAGGGCGTTTTTGGGGTGACTCAGCCCCGGAAGAGCCGTGCTGTTGCTTTTCAGCAAGGGGCAGGTGGTTCAGACCCTCTGTGTGCACCTGATCCTCTTCCCTCTGCACCATCCCTTCCCTCTGGAGGGAGGGATGTGAGTAACTCAAGCTCTTAAACAGCTGTGAGTTGCTGACTGTGAGATAAGCCAGATACAGAGGCAGATAAATGTGTTTCAAAGAGGTTACTGCCTAAACAGAAACATCACAACAAATAGGGTTGTCTCCAATCTCATATCACGGCCGCAGTTCCTGGCTAATAACTGCTGCTGGAGGAGCTCAGCTGGCATGGCTGTGAGGGCCTCACTCTGCCAGGACATGGACACCCCTGAGCTGGATTTTGGGAGAGCACTGGAGGCTCTGTGGGCTGGGTCAGTGGCTCCCACTGTGGTGAGAAGGGCGTTGGAGCTGTGCCTGCCTTACGGCAAAGCTCATCCTCATGAGAAGGAGGTGCTGCATTTTGGGGCTGCACTCAGCTTCTTAGGGAGAAGTTCTTTACAGAAGTGGTCAGACATTGGAATTTAAGTGATCAGGCATTGGAATTTAAGTGATCAGACACTGGAATGGGCTGCCCAGGGAGGTGGTGGAGTCACTGTCCCTGGAGGTGTTTAGAAGACACTGGATGTGGCATCAGTGCCATGGTCTGGGTGACAAGGTGGTGCTGGGTCCGAGGTTGGACTGGATGATCTCAGAGATCTTTTCCAACTTGGTTGATTCTGTGATTCTGTGCTTTTGGTGCCTGATAGACGAGGAAACCCAGCTGAGATTACCAGTGAGCCTAAACTGGGTTTATACAGAGAGTCCTGCCCACCCAGGGAATCTGACCATCAGTCCACCGACTCAAACGTGGGGCAGTCTTTGTGAAGGTTATCACCTTCCCATGGTGCCATCAGACCTTCTGAGGTGAATCTTTCCAACTTCCTGCCTTTTTACTGCTCTGCAATATGTCTGCAGGATGTTTTCATGAGCCGAACGTTTGCCAGAAGTTCACAGATCAGTTACAAAACAGATGTACTTTTCTTTCTTTCTTTTTTTTTTTTTTCCTCTCCCCTTCTTCCTACTGGTAAGGAAGAGTTTGTGCAGTAATTGCAGGCAGGTTGGGAGATGTTTTCTTCATAATTCTCCTTCTTATGAAATGTTTATGAAACACCTTCCACAAATCAGTTACGCAAGAAAGCTCAGGAGCTTTGATCATTTTCCATCACCCTCAATATGTTTCTTAGTTTGTTTTGCTTTTTTGTTTTTGTGTTTAGGCCAGAGATAGGTAAGAAACCATCCATCCTTGCCCAGGCCCAGCAGATGTTCAAGCCAACTATGGAAGGGACCCTCTCTACCCTGTCACCCTTCCTGTGTTTTTTCTCTGGGATCGCTCGGGGGCAGCTGACCCTGTTTTAGGGCTGTGAAAACATCCACTTGAGATTTGCAAGTGTGATTCCTTTCCTATCCCTGTGCTCCCGTGCCACCACCTGCCGTTACCTGCTCCAGAGGAGCTGGAAGCTGCTCCCAGCCCTGCCTGGGGGCTCCCCTCCAGCCCCAAAGGGAGGATGAAGGTGGCTGTAAATTCACAGCCAAGAGCCCAGGCCCCTTTCCTCACCTCCTGGCAGATGTGTTTGGTTCATTTGTCATGGAATCATGGACTGGTTTGCGTTGGAAGGGGCCTTGAAGATCATCTCACTCCAGTATCCCATCCACAGGCAGGGAACCTTCCTCTAAACCACCTTGCTTTCCTTACATACTGTTATTTCCCCAAGTAAAATTCAATGGGAACGAACTCAGACTTGCTCTCAATGACCTCTTGTTCCCCATTTCCCATCTGTCGTGATGATCATGGAAAACCAAAGTCCTGAGCAATCCCAGTGGGATTTAGTCCCAGTTTTAACTAAACCAACGTTGCTCACTTGCAACGTTTCACAGTCCTCGTCAAATATCTACATGAGGTGATTCTGTGATAATTTCAACCTTTTTATTTTTTTTTTCCCCCTAGTTCCTTAATGAAAACTCTTCCCATATTTGCAGACGTTTTCTCCAAATACGAGGCTCACGCACTGGGAAAGGAGGAGGCAGCTCCTCCCCTCGTTTTATTAATTTGAAATTCACATTATTTTATACGGGAGTCTCATGATATCGAGCGGCCTCGCCCACAATGTGTGTGGTTTTTTGGGGTTTTTGGGGTTGGGTTTTTTTTTTTTGGTGATATTGCCGGTTTAGCCAGGGAAAAAAAAAAAACCAAAACGAAGGTGCGGGATTTGCATAAAACCACCCCAAAAGTTTTGGATGCGCCCCCAACTCCTGCCAGCGAACAATTAGCCAGCTGCAGGCCTGGTGGGGAGAGGAAGAGGAGGGAGAGGTAAATTTGAGCCTAAACCCAATGGAAATAGGTGCAAGGGGGGGGGGAGAAGGATTTGTCAAGAACCCGCAGGTTCCCGCCCACTGCGCAGGAGGGAGCCAGAGAATTCCAGGGACGGGGGAAGGAGCAGTGGGAGATGTTGTTGTTTTTAAATCGGGAACCGGTCCTTTGCCAAACCCACCTCCCGTTCCCATCTTGTGCGATGCCGGGGTGCAGCTACACACCCCTTTCTCCCTGGAACGGGTCCAGATCGTCCCGCTTGGCAGCTGGAAAAATTGATTTCAGTTTGGAAATGGCTCGTGCTCCTTCAACACTCCGCTCCCATCGGGATCGGAACTCAGGCGGGACCCGGCGCCTCGTTCTCTAAGACCTGGAAGACTTTATTTTTTTGGGGGACTGTTGTGTTTTTTTTTTTTTTTTTTGGAGGCACACACCCATGAATTGCGAGCGAAATTATTGATTTTTTTTTTAATTATTATTATTATTTATATTTTTCCTTTTTTTTTTTTTTTGGGGGGACTTCTTTTTAATGCGCCCTCAGAAAGGAAAAAACATCCGTAAATCCGCTTTGCCTGCAATGACCGGATGGCTCAGGGTGTGTTCTCCTGAACCTTTTGTTTATCCTTCACTGATTTAGACACTATCACTCGATAGTGATCAAGAAGATCTTTCCATCCTTTTTTTTTTTTTTCCTGCCAGGCTAAAAGAGGGATGATCATGCCAACCTGAAAGGTAGGAAAGAGCTGGAATTCGCAGCATGTCTGCCCCTTGTTGCAAGGAGCTGGGCTTATTGCAAAACTAGTTTCGGCAGTGGCCAGAGCTGGAGCTGAAATGAAAGGGGGTGTTGTAATCACCTTCCCTTCCAAAATGCAGAGGTGAATGTTGCAGGTCCCTGCTCTGGAACCTCTTGTGATCCCATTTTCCTCTCCTGTGGAGGTCGGTCAGAGGTTGGACTTGATGATCTTGGAGGTCTTTTCCAGGCTAAGCGATTCTGTGTCTTTGTTTGCTGCAGTTGAATGGGGAGAAGAACGTCCCCTGAGCCAAAACAGTCGCTTGGGATGTTGTTTTTAAGGCTGAAATTCTTGTCCCCCTCTGCTGGTGGGAGGTTGTACGGCCTGAAGGCCCCATCAGTTGGAGAAAGCCCCCTCTGAGGTGACCCTCCCCATCTCTGGGGGGGTGTGAGGCTTGGGAGTAATTTGGTGGGAGATGGAGAGGGTTAATCCCACCAGTCAGGGAGAGTCTGCAGTGCTGAGCCCACAAACAGGAATTTCAAAACCTGTCCTTTCTGGTGTCCTCCTGGTTTTCCCAGTTTGTGACAACAAGAGGTTCTTGAATGGGACTCATGGTCTGAGCCTTGTTCCTGGAGTCTTCATGCTTGGGAGAAACTTGAGCTGAAGTTTCCTTGACTCTTTCCTTAGATAAAGAGTGTTCTGAGAGTTCTACAGGACTTCTCTGCCTCCTGTGCACAGACACTCCTCACACAACTTTCAGGAATGAACCTAAAAGCCTCTCAAATCTGCCCTCCCCCCTGTCCCAGTCAGCATTACCAAAGGATTTCAGCAAGTACAAAATGATGTAACAGGTTATTATTATTATTTTTTAACAAATTTGTATTTTCAAATGTAGCAGCGGTGCTAGAAATTAACGTGGAGACTGAGGAATAAGCCAGAAACAAGGATTTGCTGCTGGTCCTTGGGCAAATTCATCTCTCAAGAATGTAGACACAGAAATTAAGATGATTTTTTTTTCCTTGTAGACAAGAACTTTTCCTGAACATTCAGGCAGCTCAAAATGACCACTGGACAAAGGGCTGGCTCCTGTGAAGTTTTCCATTTCTTTTTCCACAGCTTGTTGTAACTAAGGAAGCAGATTTTTTTCTTTTTTTCCTTAAAACTTCTTGGTGGGTTTGTTTTTTTTTTTTTGGTGGAAGCAAAGCCAAATGCATTTGGTGCCTGGAGTGCTGCATTTTCAAGACTGGAAGATTACTGTGCTTTTTTTGAGGTCTTTCACTCCGTGACCTTTCCTTTCCCATCCCCTTGTGCCGTTCCCTGCAGAACAGAATGAGAGATTCTCCACGGCCAGCCCTGCCAGGGGGGGTGTGAGTCGTGATCTGTGAAGGGGAATTGCTTCTTGCCTTCATTATAACTCCACAAAATGCCTTAAACCTTGCACTTGGCTGCTTCCTGAAGTGTTTCAATGGATGTGTTTTAACTGAGCAAACTGCCCTTGGCTCGGCAGAGCAGGAGGACTCTGTCCATGGGATGAAGTGGGGAATGACCCTGCCTGTCAGCCATGGAAGCAGACAGTCCTGACCCTTAAATTTCCCCAAAAGGAGCCTGTTTTAGACTCCTTTCAGCCTAATTCTTCCATGGCTTTGCTCTTTTTTTCAGATTAAAACCGAAGACCTCAGCGACTCCCTGCAATCTGCCATCCCCCCTAGGTCAGGGCACCTCGTGCAGGGCTCATCAATGATGCCTGGAAGCCAAATTGCAGGGGTGAGTGACTGGGCAGCTCCAGGGATCCACCACGAGACCTCTGCCAAACCCCTTTGGACACTGGCACTTCCCCTTCAGATCTGTGCTACTAAAATTCAGCTTCCTCCTCAGCCTTCCTTCTCTGCAGGTGGATTCTAAAGCAGACTGGACACATCCTTGGATGGGATTTCCTCTGAGGGTTTGCTAAGTAGGCAAACCACACCATGGTCAGGAAATCCCTTGAATTGGAAATAACTGGAGGCTGAGACAACACCAAGGGGAAGTGTCAGATGTATTTGCTCTGCTCTTCCTCATTCATGAGTGTCTGGTTAATGCCATTGTTGCAGATAACATTCTAGGGTAGATTAACTCTTAATCTCAACCAGTAGCCTTGAATGTGTTGCCTCAAATTGATTTACACCACAGAAGAAATTAATTCCTCCAGAGGAATTTTTTTTTTTCCTAGGGTAAAAAATTAGAGTTTAGCACTTAACTCATGTTAAATTCTAGGAGGAGTTGGATGCCAGAAGGCCACACAGATGCTCAGTAATCTCTTCCCTCATTCTTTCACGGGGTATTCAGATCCATTATACAATTTAGGGACTCTTCAATTCCCCCCAAAATTCAAAACAGTGCTGTGGAAAGCAAGCTCTGGGTGTTGGTGAGATGGGACAGTCTGCTGCAATTTGCTGTGTAATTTTAGGGAGTTTGCTGCCTGAAAATGCATTATCTGAAGAAGCTGAAATCCAGGAGGTTTCACTGCTCCTTCTAACAACCAGGGCTTGATTGCCTCAAAAATGTCATTTCCCAGAGTGAATTTTTTTCAGGTGAAAAGCAGACAGTTCTCCGTGGGGGTGTCTGTGTGTGTGCACAGAATTCCTCCTGTACATCTGGAACCTTCAGATCCTGCAGCACCTCTGGATCTGTGGCTCTCCAGTTACCCAAATCCAGTGGGTTGGCAGTTCAGTGAGGAGTGTGAAGGGGGTCAAGGAAAGGAGATTTTCCCCCCAGTTTTACTGTTCCCTTTGCTTTTTTCCCGTAGGATATGAGCTCCCTCCACACCCTGCAGCAGCTGGTGTTGCTTCCTGGGCACATGCAGTCAGTTCCCCAATTTCTTCTGTCCCAGTCTCAGGCAGGACAACAAGGTAAGAGCCATAAAAGCCCAAATGGGCATCGTTATAAGCAGATAAATATCTAGGAAAAAGCCTCTCTTCCCAAGGGGTGTTGCTTTTAACCAGCCCGTTGGGTTTTCCCAGCCTGTTCCCCCGTGGTACTTGATGCTTCCCACCCATCCCGGGCTGTTCCCACGCCGGGGATGATCCCAGATCCATGTGGAAGGGTCCAGGCCTGGAGATGCTCCTGGCACCTGCGCCTTGCGCGCTCCAAGAGTGCCACCTTGGGGCCAGGCTGAATTCCCACCGGGAATTCAGGACAGCGGCCGGTTTCCAGCAGCGCAGCAAGGAGCTGCTCCCTGGGGAGCAATCCCAGCCTGCCTGGGCTCCCTCCCGCTCTTCGGTTCTCCCAGAAAACCGAGCAGAGGTTGAGCTGATCTCGGGAAGGACCTTGGAGGGAGGTAAATCCCGGGAAGGAGCTGCAGGGCAGCGCTGGCAGGAGAACGAGCAGGTCTGACCCCGCCAGGAGCAACCTGGGGAGGAGAGAGAGAGCTCTGGAGCTGCCGTGGGGCAGGAGAGATCCAACTGCTGCTGGAACACGGCTCCAGGAAAGGACTGAGGGCTGGACCCAGCACTGGAGAAAGTCCCTGTGGTCCTGGTTTTACCCCTGATATTTTTTGTGGTCCTGGTTTTACCCCTGATATTTTTTATGGCGTTTCTCCAGGGATGCAGACGTGCCAGGGAGGATCTTTTCTGCTGCTTGTGGGCAGACAGATGTGGGCTTTGATCCATCACCCCACAAACACAAAGTGATTCAGGTCCTTGGCTTGTATTTTTGATTTAGTCCAGCGCAGAGCTCGCTCTGTCTGAACCAAAATTCAGAATGAAACCCTTAAGTCTCTGCAGCTCAAATCCACTGGTACATACCCTGGGTGTAGGCAAATGGGAATTTTATTTCTTATTGGCAGCACATAAACTCTTCTCTCTGCCAAGTGATGCTGAGTGATGTATAAAGGAACTATTTGATGTGTATTTACTAATAATCTTGAATATAGTTCGTTTGAAATAGGGTCAGGACAATCTGTTGCTTGTTGCCTGCTTTTATTTGGGTATAATAAATATATTATACTTCAAAGCAGAACTTGCTGCCTTTTATAGATTAGAACTTCTTCTGTTCAGTGACTTTTTTGGCAGCTTTAACCCCCCACAGACGGCCACTTGTTTGGCTGTGACTCCTTCCAGTTCCAGACTTGCTCAAGACTGGATTTTTTTGGCCAGGAGCTGGATTTTTGTGCAGGAGCACTTGCATTTGCATAAGTGATTGCCAGGTTTTAATGATCCTTTGCTATGTCCATGCACAGCCACTGGGGAGTGAAAGGGAAGGCACAGCTTGGTTTTGTGGAATTAGTTCTTTGGTACAGACACAGGGGGAGTTTTCTTCCTGCTGAAGAGATGCACAAAATATTCCTGAAGTTGTCCCTGGAACCCTCAGGGGAACACCCTCAGTTGTTTCCTGAGTTCTGACTGATGGACACCTCAATCCAGGGATTTTATGGCCAAAGGGGCTCAGCCTTTCCAAGGATTTCAGTGCAGGTTTTCTGTTTTAAAGCTGGTTTTAAGGCAGAGAAATTCCCAGCTGTGGTTCCTCGTGCCCTGATGTGATTCCCTGTGAGCTCTGTGCTCTGAAGGTGGGAGTGAGCAGCCAGGGAGATGCTGGGAATGCTGTCAGTCAAAATATTGCTGCTGAAGTCTTCATCTTGTGCAAAGAGCCTCAATCTCCTCAGCTGTCAGACCGGTGATTCCTGAATCCAGCCCATAATTTTCATTTGAGCTCCAGCTCAGCTTTCACCGAGGTGTTCAATCATGATTTTAAAGACTCCAAATGACAGAGCATCTGCCATGTCCCTAGGCAAGCCATTCCTGTGATTAATTACCTGCTCTGTTAAAAATGTGCACCTCATTACCAGCCTGGATTTGAAATTCAAAGTTGTTCCAGCATTAGGGAAGGCTCATTGAAACCCCAACCTAAATAAATAAAGGGGACAGTGCACATCAGAGCTAAATTAAACAAGAAAAGGCAGAAAAACAGAAAGGGGGAGAGATTGATCCTGGAGATTATCTGTTTTCCTATTTATTAGCAGAAGTCCATAAATTTCTCTGGATTTCCCTGTAATTGTCAGTTAAAATCAATTAAATATATTGAGTCTTTCAAGAGAGGTGATAAATCCTCACTACATTCCATAGGTTTCACTCACAATGGACTTGATCCAAACTAAATTTCTAGGGAACTACACAACTTAGTCCTGTAGGACATTCCCTGTAAGAGATATGGGCTTGTACTTGGCAGTTTATCAGCTAAACAATTACACAGGCTCTATAAATACTAGTTTTTGTTGGGTTTATAGATTTCCCTTCCTTTTTCCCTTTCATCATTTTCGTGCCAGTTCATATATTCCAAAAGAAATTCAATTTATATGAAATACAGTTGGGTAGAAAAGAAAGGGTCAGAGGGCTTCAAAATGACACTTGAAAATGAAATGTGTAATAGAAAGCAGAGTGGGAGGGCTCGTGAGATTAACTGTAGGATCAGGGTTTTTTTTTTTAACAAGATCAAGTGGCTGAAAGTTGGGAGTCAGAAGAGCTTATGTTGGAAATAAGATGTACATTTTTCTAACAGCTGCAATGATTAAGCACTGGGAGAGATCCCCATGAAGGATGAAGTGACTTCTCTGCTGCTTGGCACCTAAAATCAAAGTCAGAGTTCTATAAAAAGCTCTGGTTCAGCCTTAGGGTAATGGGCTCCACACAGGGATCAGTAGATGAGATATTTTACTTATATAATTATTGTAATAATCCCTTTCAGGCTAAAGAGCCACGAGAAGAACCTTTTCTTTCTCCTAATCCAGCTCAGAGCCAGACACTTTGGCTGAATGGCTGAAATTCCTGTATTTTGAGCAAGAACTAATTAATGGAGCTGAACACCCAGAGCTCCACGAGCCTTTCCTGGGCAGGGATGTTCAGCTGATGAAGGAGCTGCTCTGACCAGACGTGTCTCCTTTTTCTCTCCTCAGCTTTGCAGCCAAACCTCCTCTCCTTCCCTCAGCAGCAGGGCAGCCTCCTCCTCTCCCAGCCAGGACCCAGCCTGGCATCACAGGTAACCCCCACCCACAGGGTGCTGCTCCATGGAGAGGAAATCGGGGGTTTTCCTGTCGTTGTGCCTCTGAACATCCCTTTTTTGGGGTGTTGTTTTTGCAGGCTGTGGGTCGTTCTGGGCTCCCTGGCTCGTCGGTTGAACCCCACCTGGATGTCCCCCAGCATTTGCAAGTGGCAAAGCACCTGACTCCCTCGGGGGCATCAGAGGAGCCAAGTGACCTGGAGGAGCTGGAGAAGTTTGCCAAGACCTTCAAACAAAGGCGGATCAAGCTGGGGTTCACACAGGTGAACCCTCCCGGGTGGGGTGGCTGGTGCTGGGGACAGGTTGGGCTGGGGGGGTGGTGGTGGAAGGGCTGGGTCAGACACAGTTTGGCTCATTTTGCAGCGTCCCCTTCCAAACACACCAAGAGACAAACCCTTCCCGAAACTTCATTGCCTCCTGATCTGCACCTCCTCCAATAGATGGGGCGTGGGGCAGATCCCTGGGGGAAAACGGAGCCTCTTTCTCTGGAAAGGCGGGTCATGGAAACAAGGCTGAGCCCGGAGGGGGTGTGACAGCAGGGACCTGCCAGGGGCTTTCCCGAGCTCATGGTGTGCTTTGGGTCTTCCCTGGCAGGGGGATGTTGGACTGGCCATGGGGAAGCTCTACGGCAACGACTTCAGCCAGACCACCATCTCCCGCTTCGAGGCCCTCAACCTCAGCTTCAAGAACATGTGCAAGCTCAAACCCTTGCTGGAGAAGTGGCTGAGTGATGCAGGTGGGTGACATGAGGTGCAGAAATGCCACCAGGGTGAGAGGATCCATCCAGGAACCTCCAGTAAAAGGTTAATCCGTTCAACCCTGTGTAAACTGGAAAGAATGGGAAGGAACTCGAGGTGCTCAGAGATGTGCACCATCTCTAATCACCATGAGCTGTGATTAGAAAAGGAAGATATCACTGACAGGGGAATCCCCAGTGGCAGGAGAACTGGGTTGGTGTCCTCTGCAGACTGATCTTGACTAGTTTATCCAAGTGGTTTAGCCAACATCTTCAACTGTGTGAAATTAAACCACTGGAAAATCCCCGTCAGGGCAGGCTGGAAAACAGGCTGGACAAAGGAAAAGCAGTGTGTGGATTAAAATATTAGCACTCCTCTTTCTTCCCTGATTTGGACAAGCTCATTGATGGAGCAATTGCCCTTGGAGCAATTTTGATCCTCATGAGAGGAAGGATCTACACTGCAGGAAAACTTTATGTGCTGTAGGAGGTGCCTCAGTGCAGAGAAAGGATCTAAGGGATGAAAATAACTCATCATCTCCTGGAATATCTCTTTTTTTCTCTCCCTTTCTCCCCAGAATCTGCTCCTTTGGATTCTTCCATGAGCACCCCCAACTCCTACCCCTCAGTGAACGAGATGTTTGGGCGGAAAAGGAAGAAGAGAACCAGCATCGAGACCAACATTCGCTCCACGCTGGAGAAGAGATTCCAAGATGTGAGGGTGAAATCTTCCCGTGTGTGGTGAACTCTCTCCGAGTTCAGTGTTTTCTAGGACGTGCTAGCACCGAATCCTCTTTAAAAAAAAGAATAAAAATTAGACATCTCTTTTGGTTCGTTGCGAAAGCAGGTTAGAAAATGCCCGAAGGGGTTAACAGGGAAAGTGTTAAAACCAGAGAAATTCCCTGTTATCTCATTGGGAAATGTTGTTTTAAGGGAATTACAATTTTATCACCACGTTTTCCCCACTGTCACCCACTGAGCCAGAGCTGCTCTCCTGCACCCACCTCTTCTCTTTTTGAGCTGCAGGTTTGTGTCACAGGAGCTCGGGGGCCACGATGCCCCTTTAGGCAGCTGTTGTAAGACCACGGTTGCCTCAAATATTGCTGCTGAAACCATCCAGAAGTGGAGCCTTCTGCTTTCTCAGCATCAAGAATTTCAAGGAAAAATCACTGCAGAAAGCAAACAGAGCTTTAATCAGCGGGACTAAATTGTGCATTGAAAATTTCTCATCAAAACTGTTTCTGATCAGCCCTTGTGTTGGGTTTGTTTTTTTTTTTTGGCTTCTCCCTCATATCAAAATGTGCTCAGCCCCCCTCAGATCATTTTGGCACCTCATTTTCAGCTGGTAGAAGGTGTCCTTTGAAATGGGAACGTTGCCTTGGCACCTCTGAGCCGGGGTTTTTTTTGACCCTCAAGTCTCCAACTCGGATCAAACCCCCACAGAGCTAAAGCTGCTGTCGAAATGCACCAGGAAATAAATGAGCTGCTGTTATTTCCCTTTGTAAACGAGGGATGGAGGAGGGAAGGGAAGCAGTGGCTTTGCTGAGGTGGTGCAGGCGGGTGCACAACCTGAGAGGTGGCTGACAAGACCACCAGGCTCCAGGTGCCCCCCAGCAATGGTTTAGGGGCTGTTTGAAGAGTGTGGGGCTTTGTGCAGTAGCAGGGACAGATAACTCATCCCCCACTGATTCCTTGAGACTTGCTGTGGAATCTGGTTCACAGAACATGATCTCTCCCTCTCAAATATTTACCCTTTGTCTTAGGAGCAGGTTTTGTCCCCTCCCCAGTTCGCAGCCAACCCCACCCTTGCCCTGCCAGCACCAGGCACTGATGCTCTAAGGTGCAGCTCTCTGGGGCTTGCTTTAACCTCCTGCCTCTCTCAGCAGAACCCCAAGCCCAGTTCAGAGGAGATATCCTTGATAGCAGAGCAGCTCTCCATGGAAAAGGAGGTGGTTCGGGTCTGGTTCTGCAACCGGCGCCAGAAGGAAAAGCGGATCAGCTGCCCGATGCCATCCCCCATCAAATCACCCATCTACAACTCCAGACTGGTGAGACACGGGGGATTAAGGAGTTCTGTGGGTCATCCCTGACAAGAAGGGGAAAAAGGGTGTGGGGAGGCAGAAGGGTTTGCAGGAAAAGGACATTTCCTTGTATTCCCTGATCCCACAGTCCAGTGGGAAGCTGCACCTGCAGCGTTGTATCCTGGGCTAACCATGGACTGGGCATGTAATCAGCATCCCAACTCAAGTGGAATCTCAGTCAGAACATTTATTTTTTTTATTCTATTATTGAAAACAGTAGAAAGAAAATGCAAGTCTCCCGGAAGGATGAGTTTAGTTTAATTGTAGGATCATTTATTTAAATTGGAATGCTATCCCAAAGCTTTCCCTCAAGAGACCGGTAAGGAAAACCTTTCCAAAGTTAATGGAGGAGATATCAGCATTCCAGAGTTTGGGAATTACATCCACTCCTATCAATTTAGTTGTTAACTCTGAAGCATAATGGTAACTGTTTATACATCAGTCTGTTGTTTTACATCTGTGCAGGAACATGGAATACACTTAATTAGTGCTGATTGTCCTTCTCTCATGTGGTACATTCACATTCTGGCAAGTGTATTTTCACTGCCAGGGAGGATGGGGAAAAGACGAGGAAAATGTTGTGAGAGCTGTTGAAAGCTGTGTCCTTGTGATCCACTGTCAGTGGATAACGAGCTACTGTTGCATTTCTGCTGGTTAATTTAGTGGTTGCTTGGTTGCTTTGACATTTAAAAGTGGCAGGAACCTCCCTGCAGCGCTGTGGGTGCTGTGAGTGGGAGGGAGAGTCTGTATTCACCGGCGACACTTTTATCCTGAAATCTTCTGGGCTTTGGAATTACCCCTCGGAAGGCAGGAAAACATCACAAGGAGTTTGGCCACTTGTTGCACAACACGTTTGGGCTGAGCTCACACGCACAAAGAGCTGCTTGCAAGCCGTGGATTCTCAAAGCTGGGGTGAATAATTTCCCTGGGATGAGCCCTTTGCTCCTCAGCCACCCTGAGCTGTCTCCAGTGTCAAACTGAACAACAAATGCCCCAGGCCTGCTGGGATTGCAGCTCCCAAATTCCTGTCACCTGAGAATTCCCACCCATCCACGACTCCCTCAAGGACATGGGATTATTTGTGCCCAGGACCAGAGGGAGCTGGGAAGTTTCAGGCTCCTGCAACGGGATCTTGGGACTTGCAGAGAATTTGGCTTGCTTTGGATCATTTCAGGCTTTTCCATGGCTGGTCCATGAGTTCAGATGGATGGAGAGGGTGCCAGCAATGTGTAAAACTAATTCTGGTTTCTTTTCGTGGCCCTGGGTATGGGAATGGTGCTTCTACACCAGAGTGGGAGTAGAAATATCCGTGATGTCAGTGATAAGTGTGCCTGGGAGCCAGCACACTCCAAAGGGAATGTGAAAGGGGTGGCATTATGGGATTTATACACTGGGATTTATATTTCAGTGCCAAGTGCTGTTTGCTTCTGTCTCTCCCCAGGTCTCTACCTCAGGGTCCTTGGGGCCCCTCTCTGTCAATCCAGTGCACAGCACCATGCCTGGGACTGGTAAGCCTTGGGAATCCTGTCCCACTCCGCCTTCCTTCCCTCCTCCCTCTGCCCTTCCTCCCTGACTGCTTGATTTCGGGGTCACATCTGCAGGATACTCTTCATAAGACCCTTGGGTTTGGCCCAGGAAAGTGTCCCCATGTAACTGGTGTGCCCGGGACAAGAACAGCTGAGGCTTTCTCTTGGCTGGGATAAAGACATTCCCAGGATAATCCTGGGCAAATTTTAGTGGGGTGTTTAGGTTTGGGAGCCAGACACACACAGGAGCCAAGCAAGGGGAGTGCCTGGGGGTGGGTCAGAGTGTCAGATCAGCTTTGAGAGGTGAGAAATAGGAATAGGGGGGGAAATAGGAGTAGAAATAGGAATAAGAGTAGAAATAGGAAAAGGAATAAGAGTAGAAATAGGAA